ATTTTCACTACATTTTCCTTGCTGTGCAATCATTTCTCAGTTGGACAATTAATAAGTGCTTTTTCTCCACAGCCCGCAGTGTATAACCCCTCTTACCCTGCATTTTAGCATGCATTATATACCTTCTTCACTTTGACTGGTTTTGGCAGTGACCCACAATCTAAATCTCTTTCTCCATTTGATATAAATGAAACTATAATTATCTAGGGGTAATTTCAAATTACTACTTCATTCCACTAGCAACTGATGAAGATTAGTGGTCTTGCCTTGCATCTGAGTAAGTCAGCAACATAATCACAAGAGAAGTCAGCAGGCAACATTTGATTCATGTGAACTCAATTGCTTCTTTCAAACACATTCACTTCAATAAAAAGCAGAAACTTCCAAAATGGGTTTTTGCTAACCATTTTGTACTCAAAAAAATTTCCATATGACTCTTAAGGGGAAAGAATAGCATGGATTTCACCAGAAATAATAATAAATCACAAGTAGGAAAACATACTTGTATAAATGGATTTAATACATTATTAGTTTCTGATAATAAAGAATATTTCAAAGAAATAAATTTGTATACTTAAAAGCAATTCATTATAGAAAATTCAGGCATAAAAGTAAGCCTTAGAAAAATAAATGAACTCTATATAGTATTTTAAGTTAATACAATAGAAACCAGAGTATTTTGTTACCTCATTAAAGCCAGATTATTAGGGAAAATGTAGTCAATTTCTCTTAAAGGAAATTAAGTGAGTGGGTATGAAGATGATAGATCACTGACTTGCTAAATGGGCTAAGACTCCAGAAGTCCTTTTTAGCTGTCTTCTGAGTTTAAGCCATGTGTCAGTGAGCTACCCAGTAGTCTCAATCCTGAAGGGCTAGTCTCTAAAAGCCTTTGGGTCAACTCCATCATGCCCTGCACATATATAAGGTCACATGATCCTGATCTGATAGCAACTACCAGATCACCTCCTAGTATAAACTTGGTAAAAATTAACACATGAAAGTCATTAGAATAGATTTATTCAGCTTCTTATTATATCTTTAATTAAATCCTAAAAGAGGTAAAACTAAGAAGATATCTCACTTTTCTACCCTCACTGTGACCAAGGTACATTATCTCCATTCTATAATATTGAACATTTTATCTAAGGGGCAAAAGAATACAGAACTATAGCAAAATATGATTGCTGAGATATACCCAAAACGTTCCTATTTGATGTAATAATTAACCATTTTCCAAATGCATTTATCTTCCTATTACTATAAGATGCAGAAATAAACTCAAAGACATTTGGGGAATTCTATGTATTATATCAACTGTAACACCAAAGTATGTTCCTTTACCCATCTGAGTATCTAGTTTCACATTTATATAAATAAAAATGGTTTTTCATTACTTATTCCATGTGAAAATTTTTAAAAAGACCTATGTTATGGTATTAAGTAATCCGAGGGCAAAATTTTATCTAGGAAACCAAAATCTATGCTCTAATACTCACATTGCCTTTGTCTTATTGAGGACTTTGAAAACTTAGTGACAACAAAAAAAGACAAAACAACAAAAAAATTGGGATTCTGCAGTTCAACAAGTTGAGTTCTCAGCTAAATTCTAACCTGAATATTCTCATAGTCCATACAGATAACTGTTTGATGTTAATCTTACATTATAAAAAAGAAACTGAGTTATTAAATATAAATGTATAATAAGGCTACCTTATCAACATATTTCAGTATATGATGTTTTGAGTTCTACAAAAATCACTAAAATGGCCTCTATAATAGTTAATATATCACAGGCCAATCACATATGATTTAATACCTATAACTTGAAAATATGGCCTGAAAATCTTAGGACTAAGAAAGGATGAATTTAAAATACATCAATTTTGTAAACAAGGATATTTTCAACTGATAAATACAAAGATAAATAAATCAATTTTAAACCACAGTATTCTTTTATGCTTTGCACATTCTATTTCCTCACTTTGAATTTGTTGTCCCTACCACTTGCCTTTTGATTTCTTTCTCATTCCTTAAATAACATCACCTCTGTCATTGAGGAAGATGTAGTCTGATGGGGGTGGGGAGAATCATTAATCAAATAATAACTTCACAAATAGGTGCAAAATTATAACTCTAAGAGGTTCTTTGAAGGAATAATTATGTGAGTAAATAAGAGGCCTGACTTAGTCTTGAAGGGTCAGAGACAGCCTTCCTGAGGAAGAGGAGTTGGACCACAGAGCTGAAGGATTAGTATGAGTTAACCCGGCATTAAGGAGGTAAAAAAAATGTTTAAGGGAAGGTAACAAAATCACAGAAGAATTAGTGAAAATGAGCAAATTGCCTTTGAGAAACTGGAAGGAAGTCAGTGTGGCTAGTGCATAGTGGATGGGAGAAAGCATAGTTTAAGATGTGTCCAGAGAGATAATAGGGTCAAAACCATGCAGGATCTTAAGCTACTGTAAAAACTTTGTCTTAAAGAAAACTACTGAAGTATTTCAAGTGTAGGTGTTGGGGTTAGGTGGGGCCTGAGGGCAGGTGTGTGAAACAACCAGATTTGCATTCACATGGCTAAAATCAAAACCATATACAAAGTCATTCATTAAATTTGATAATAAAGTTCTAACCAGATATGTTTATAGATTGGAGGGAAAGAAAACAGAGAGATATAAATGATTTTACAAGATAAGTCGGGTTGCCATTTCTATAACTATTTTGTGATAGATTAGAATTGGGTAGTGAGTAGAAAGGAGATGTTAAGAATGATTCTTAGAATTCTGGCCTGTCAAATATATTTCTAAAACACTTAGATCTTCACTTAACAGTTTGGGGATAGCAGTATAAGATCATAGAATGGGTAAGAGCAGTGATTGAGAACTGAAATGCACAAGAATGTTTAAAACATGCAATACCTGACTATTTAGTCAGGGGCACTGGCTTTTTATCCCTTAAATTTTCAAATGAAAACTGACAGCTAACACAACAATAGCCATCTGATGTGAATGAACCAAAAGTATATCCATTTTTTGTTAGATTGGCAAATATATGTGTGTGTGTGCGTGTGCGCGTGTGCGTGCGCAGCAGAACTTTAGTAATTAGTTTATGTATGCCATGAGATGAAAAAGGTTGAAAATCTCTGGTTTAGCTTTATGGTGGAATTTTATAAGACACTATGCACATACATTTACTTGCATGTGTATCCTATCTAATAAAGAGGGAATATGCAAATTGACCATCACACCGTCACAAAGATGGCTGCGCCTACAGCTCGGAGGCAGGGTTTCCGTAACACAAGATGGCTGCACCCAAATCTATGCCGAATTCCCATAACGAGCCTTAACAAGCAATCAGCAGGGACCTGAGGCTGTGTGGCACTGGGCCAAGGCAGAGATCCTGAGGCTGCGCCTCCCCGCTCAGTGGGGCTTAACAGGGGACCTGAGGCTGCACCACCCGCCTGGTGGGGCTTGACAGGGGACCAGAGGCTGTGCACCCCACCCAGGGGGCTTGACAAGGGGAGGGCCGGCCAGGACTGGATCTAGCCCAGTGAGGGTGGGGCCGGCGCAGTCTGGGTCTCACGCTATTTTGAGGTGCCGCAGGTGGGCAGGGACTTGACTCTGGGTCCCGCAACACGCACCAGACTCTGACGAGAGGAAGATTTTCATATACATTTTACTAATTTTCTTTCATCTCTGACACTTCTATTATAGAGAAAGGGCAAATAGCAATATTAAAATATTTCCTCTAATTAATCCCCTTTTAATGTGCATGAATTTCATGCATTGGACCACTAGTATAGATATAGGGAATAGCTGTGATGCCTTAATTCTCTAAAGCAAACCTTCAACACTTATTCATTCAGTGAGATGTTATTTATAGAATAAACATTTGGACTTCCTCCTAATGTGGCCAAATATTATTTGTACTTTGGAAAACACCAAGAGGCACTATTCATACAGACTCATTACATTCTATACAACAGCCTTCATGATCCTACAGCTTTGTTCCTACTACCAGGGTGGAGTAATAAACACATTGAGACAGAGTCCACTTTAGTGACCTTTTCTAAGTGTAGACTCTACTGCTTACCCATTGTATCTCAATTAAGTCTCTTTTCAATTATTAAGGGAAGAGTGTGAGAAGAGAAAAGCATGCATCTAATGCCTGCACTAAGATACATGCCATCAGGACACTACTTCCCCAAGATATTTTCATCATAAAGGTATTATTTTAATCCCAGCAGTAATAAAAATGTATCCTCTAAAAATGCAGAGGTCTTTTATACAATCTGAAGGAAGATAAAGGTCATTGTGCTCTGAACTAAAGTGACCACATATTCTTCAAAATTACATAAACAACTAATCAAATAGAGCATGTTGCTTTATAATACTAGCAAACACTTTTTTTAGAAATAAGATTATATTATAAATATTTTAGAGAAAGTATTGTAAATATTTTAGAGAAAGGAATTAAATATATTCAATGGGTTATATTTGTTTCCACAATTACATATATCCTCACCTTACACTGAGGAGGCTACTAAAAAAAGTTAAGGTAAAGCTAGTTAGAACTTTCCTTTAAATCCAATCCTGAATAAAAAATAATTCATTTCCCTGACAATCTTAAAAGCATACAGAAACATAATTTTGATTTAATAAAACTTTGTGTTTATATGTGTGCATGCATGTGTGCATGCATGTGTGTGTGTGTGTGTGTGTGTGTGTGTGTCTATAATTGTAGATTACATGACAAAACAACAACCACACACTTAAATACAGGAGACACAATACATATGAGCTGATGCTGAAAAAGGAAATTTAAAAATGGTGCAATATATTTCTAGAGAGAAATAATTAAGCAGCATCACTATGATTTATAGATAACTTCCCTAGTTTTGTTTCCCTGGATTTATAATCAATCTACGTTCAGGCCTGAACAAACGTGAACAAGCCTGATTCATGTTATATATTGGATTTAGAAAAAAAAAATGCACCTGAAGCTACCAAGTGGAACTAGGGTGACTTCTCAATATTTGGTTTTCTCCTTAATACACATTCACTCTCATTACCTACTTAATACATGCATATCATGATGAAAGCAAGTGCAGGTTCATAAGGAAGAATAATTTTTTTAAGAAAAAAAAAATCTTCCTTCTAAGCTGTTCTTCACTTTCACATAAAGTACTAATCTCTTCCAAAAAGCTATTGATAAAAATCCAAATTTAAAAGGGCAACTCACTACATTGTGGGCACAATGAGAGTATTTTCAAATGAAGAGGGAAGAATGTATGATCAAGTTTCGACTTAAAATAAAATTTTAAAAAAGAATCTCCAAGTGCAAATTGCTTTGAAATAACCTGAAAATTGCTTTGTATTAGCTCTATCTCCAAGCAGTTGTTTTCTTGGCTCTACTTCCTATGCATCTAAAAATGACCTGTAAATATTTAAACACAAACATGCAATAGCAATTATATGTAAACAATACAGTAAACTAAGCCCTGCCATTTACAGAGATTTCCCTATGGAGTTCATATGGCTGAACTTATTACTGAAGAATTTTTAAAAGTATGCCCAAACAAGTCTCATCTAAGATTTGCATTTGAATTTTACAAAGCAAGTAAAATTACCACTTCCTCTTCATGGAGAGAAAATAACAGTAGAGTAGCAGATAATAATCAGACAAATAAAGTTATATACAAAGAGATAATTCCTTGATTTGAGTTGCTCAAAAATAAAACTTCTGAAACTTCTGAAAGCAAAATGAATATGAAATATTACACAGCATGTAAGACACTTTCTGAGTATTAACTATGTATAGCCAATAAAATAGAACATTAAATCTTTCATCGTTGCCAGCAATTTTAAAATCCCGAGAAGAGAGATATCAAACTGAAAAGAAATAATCTCCATAAATTAGCAAAGTAAAAGGTCACCTGCTCATAATCATTGGAGGAAATACATATACATGATCCACCTGAAGCAGACAGCACCTGCGGATGCACAGGCAAGCCCTTACCTTCACAGGTGCCATTTTTCTCTTCATATCCTGCCTTGCACATGCATTTCCCGATGGGCACCAGCCACTCCCCTTCAGCGCTGCAATGCATTTTGGGTGGTTCCTCTGTCACCGAATGGTTGACACAAGAGCCCGATACTTCCAGCAATTGAGAAGAATCAGCTCCAGTGATGGTGTCAGGGAAGACAGCCAAGTGTCGTACCACAGAAGGACATTTCTTATAGTACACGCGCACAGAAACCAGAGCGATGCAAGCACCCAGGTCTTGAAAGGCAAGATAAAATCCCGTTTTGCTTAGAGGTCCGACATCTCTAACCTCCGTATTCAGTTTCATGACACGGTCCCCGAGATCAAGTTCTGTGAAGCTTTCATCGGCGGCAATGGTATCGATTTTGATGTATTGGTTTTCCTTGACATTTCTCCCGTTCTCATCATCGGACTCAAAGTAATACATGTTGAACGTTTCCTTACAGGTGCCCAGTCCTCCGGGAAGGCTGTTGCAGTCCCGCAGAGTAAACTTAAGTTCTATGAAGATTCTGGAAGCACCTTCGTTAGAGATCCAACTGGTCAGAAGCCAGTTATTCTGATTCTGTTCCATAACTTTGCATACTTGGTATGTGTGGATAGGGGCATAATTTTCATCAACTTCACCAATCTCTTCCCACTGTATAATATAAAATAGAAAAACATGTTTAAAAATTAGACAATAACCAGAAAAAATAGTCAAAATTAATTCAGATGTGCAAATTCCTGTATACTTGATGTATAGTATTGAGAGGAGGAGCTATAGAGCAAGGATAAAAAATACTGTTGCCTTTATAAAATTAACTAAAATAGTAATTTATGATCTCCAGTGTAACTCATAGGTGAACACATGAATAATATTACCCAGAAAACAACAACAACATGTATTTCAGTGTAAAAAGAAAAGATAGTTGAATGTGTTTGCAGTTAACAACAAGAAACAGTGAAAGAAAAAGATGTATATTTGGAAGAAAATATATAGATTAAGAGGTACATAAAGTCTTAGAGTTAAAAGAAACAATATCATTTGAAAGACACTAATGAGAAAATAGTAGTAAATGAGGAAAAGAAGAAAGGAAATGTGACATGTAAAATCACACTTACGTAATTCTGGCATGTGACAAATAACACATGAATGTAATAAAACTTGGAAAAAAGTCATTAGTTTACAGTTAATAATGTATCTTTATTTCTTTGAACCAATCTGTGTTGGACTTTTTTACAAATTGGATAACTAAATGTTTATTCATAAATTTATCCACTAATATAAACCTAGAGACATATAATATAGAGGTAAAATTACAGATTAGTAATATGCAGAGCCTTGTCATCTCAAATACTGATGTGCCTTTATATCCTGGGAATGCATTAATTCTTTTTTATATCCACTAATATAAACCTAGAGACATGTAATATAGAGGTAAAAATTACAGATCAGTAATATGCAGAGCGTTGTCATCTCAAATACTGTTGTGCCTTTATATCCTGGGAATGCATTAATTCTTTTTTACCAATGCATCATTTTATGCATGACCTTAAGAGTTCTAAGTATATACAGAATGTAGAAAAATTAAGTATAATTTATATAGCTTCAAAAAATATTATTTGGTCAAAGAAGAGATCTAAACCAATCTCTTTCCTAGTAAAATACTACCATTTTGAGAATCTCAATGCATCATACCCTGTCTGAACAATATAGAAGCACTTGTTTTTTACATAATTGTGTTACTATAATTTAAGAAATTTCTTAAACCTGTGAAAAATCTGTGTAGACAAAACTATATGTAATTTTTAACTCTTTAAAATTGGCCGTGAAACACACAGAGCAATCCTATATAATAAATGCCTAATATGCTAAGTGTCTTTTCTTCATAATTGTGTTACTGTAATTTAAGAAATTTCTTAAACCTGTGAAAAATCTGTATAGACAAAACTATATGTAATTTTTTACTTTAAAATTGGCCATGAAACACACAGAGCAATCCTATATAATAAATGCCTAATATGCTAAGTGTTCGGTCGGCCGTTCAACCAATCAAAGTGTAATATGGTAATGATAGGCAGTCGACCGGTTGACCAGTTGCTGTGATGTGCACTGACCACCAGAGGGAAGACGCTCCGACCAGTAGGTGAGCTTGCTGCTGGGATCTGGTCGATCGGGACTGAGCAAGATGGGCTGGACACACCCTGGAGCCCTCCTGAGGTCCCACTCCGGCTGGCCAACCTTGACCAGTTGCTGTGATGTGCACTGACCACCAGGGGGAAGATGCTCTGACCAGTGGGTGAGCTTGCTGCTGGGATCTGGTTGATCCGGACTGAGCAAGATGGGCTGGACACACCCTGGAGCCGTCCTGAGGTCCCACCCCGGCTGGCCAACCTCCCATGTCCCTCCCCAGCCCTGATCATGCACCGGTGCGGTGGGGTCCCTCAGCCTGGCCTGCGCCCTCTTGCAATCTCAGAATGTGATTTCAGATATCGAGATAAACTTGATAGGACCTCATTTCTTGAGACACAAAATTAAGTAAAGCATTATTTCTAGGTTCTATTCAACTGAAAAAATGTGACAAATGTGGAATCCCAGTAGAATGTGATTTCAGATATCAATAGAGAAAACTTGATAGGACCTCATTTCTTCAGACACAAAATTAAATAAAGCATTATTTCTAGGTTTTATTCAACTGAAAAAATGTGACAAATGTGGAATCCCAGGGTTGCCCATAAATCATCTAATTCTGATGGCCCCTCTCAAAATTCTAACTGCCATTAGACAGACAAAGTAAAATGTGCTAATGAGGAAAACTTCTTAGCTCCTTAAATTCACAAGAGAGAGACATCAAGATTTTATCTCTAACAGCCTTCACATTATGGTGTTATGGGAAGCCTTAGTTCTTTCATTTCATCTCACTTGTCCTCTCTCAGAATGTATTTAAACTGCTACTTAGCGTTTGAATTTCTAACTCAGCCTTCTATTTCAGCACTCTGTCATTAATCTACTTACATTTTTTTTCCTGATGCAATCCAGGGATCAATCTCTTTATTATACTTATTAATCATGAATGTCATGATTAATATTTTAAGAAAAAGGGCACCTCAACTAACCAAATGAAAACAATAAAAATAATCAACTTACTGTAATACGATTAATTAAAAGATATTCTTTGAATTAGTAAAATGGAAAATAGCACTGAAATGTTCTCAGAAAAAAAGAATATAAAAATGCTACATAATCTTTGTTTTATATTTCAATTTATAATAGTCTTCTGATACAAAACACAGAATATTTCAAATCCTTGGCTTTAATTCATGTATAGAAGTCCTATTTCTGCAACATATATTCCAATAAGACCCTGCTAGCAAGTAAAAGGAAATGGATAAGTAAAAGGAATTGAAATAGCAGCTTCTTCCAAAGTTATAAAGCAAGCATTTCACAGTCTTTGCCTGTACAAAGTCAAAGGTACCACAAATATTATTAAAAATGCAAGCCAAGAAGCACTTGACAAGACAGTTTAATACTTACTGTTTGGGGTGATAATTTCAAAGTCTGTGCATAAGTATCTGCTTCTCTGAATATTCTCAATTAAGAAGAGAAAAACTGCAATTTTCTTTGATGTTAAAATTTATTATGGTGGTATTTTATTTATTTTTCTTTTCAAATGTCCAAAATATAAATGAAGGCTCAAATTTTCTATTTCTAATGACTGAATAGAAAGACTTTAATTTAAATAATTATGGCCATAAGCCATTCAAAGAATCAAACACGTAATATATACACATTTCCCGTAAATATCTTCTCCTATTTAGATAAATATGCTAAAAAATGGACAAATATATTTAATTTATTTTAAACTGGCTGAAATAAAACTTTGAGCTCTCCCAAGATTTCCCCCCCTTTTAATACAAAGAGGATTTCCTGTCCTCATCAGCAAAATCTTACCTATGAAAATGAAATGAGAGGATGTAGAGAAAGCAACAGTCGTTAAGAACTTAACAACCTGGCAGGTATATTCTTAGACACTTTTGCAAATGTTATATAGAGGAGATTACTGTAACATAATGAAGGGCCCTGATAGAAAACACAATATTTTCTGCTCAATTGTGTTGGATTTCTTATAATCCATGGTTTAATAAAAGTACTTGCTAATCCTTTGATTACTACAAATGAGGTGCCTGGGCAATTTGAAAGTGTGGTCACTGAATGCAATATGGAGACTGCGGCTCTGTTCTTCCGATCCAGCTACTCCTCAAGGCCCAGCCCCTGAGCCCAGGCTCCTGTGTTTGTTTCCTCTAGTTACACAGACAGCTTGGGCCGGCTTGATTTCTCTCCCAGAGGCCTGGCTTTGCTTCTTTTCCCACTAGAAACTGAAGAGTCCAAGTCATTTGCATTCTAATCCTGTGCCTGGCCAGGCATCACAAGTCAGCCACATTCATCAGACAAGTGGAAGAGAGAAAGGACTTATTTTTATATCCATATGTGCATCATGGAGTTACCAACTTTTGCTAAGTCATTAAGAACTATTTTCTCCCTGCCTGCCTCTCATTGCTCTATTAGGTTTCCAGCCCCAAGCTCCTATTGTCTCTTAGCCTCTTAGTATCATCCTCATTTCCAATCCTCTAGCCTATACATCACTTCCTTTTGCCTTCAAAGCTTAAAAAACACAGATTCAAGAAACAGCCCTTATATTATACCCCCGCCCCCAATACAGATAAGGAACCGTCAAATGAACAGAATTGATTTCGACCTTTCAAATGATCAGGGGTGCCTAGCATCTAGTTCTGTTTTCATTATTGTGTTTCTGTGTACTTTGTTTTTTTAACCACAGATTATTATATTAAGGTTAAATACAGAGGTAAGAAACTTTGTAAAAGCCTGAACAGAAACACTTGATTACTCTTAAACAGAGGAAAGATCATCAGCCTAAAGCCCCAGTTTTAGTCCCAGCTCATCTATCATCTAGAATTCAGTGGTTCTCAACCTTCATAATGCTGCGACTCTTTAATACAGTTCTTCATGTTGTGGTGACCCACAACCATAAAATTATTTTCGTTGCTACTTCATAACTGTAATTTTGCTACTGTTATGAATCATCATGTAAATATCTGATATGCAGGATGTATTTTCATTGTTACAAATTGAACATAATTAAAGCATAGTGATTAATCACAAAAACAATATGTAATTATAGATGTGTTTTCCGATGGT